GAACTCGCAACGATCGTCCTGCCTCAGCCTCCCTAATGCTGGCATTAAGGTGTGCGCCACCACGCCCGGCTATAAGATCATTTTTTTCCCTATAGAAAAGAACATTTGGAACTCTTCTGGTTATTAAAACCCCACTAATTCTTAGAATCTATAGTTTTGTAGCAAATCATGTAAACTGCTTATTTGATTTTATTGGTACTTTTTAGATGTAAATAATAACATTCAGCCTTGGAAATTTGTACCTATACATTACTTATCTTGATTTTTCTTTTTTTCCCATTCTCCTCCCATCCCTCCAACCCCTCGTCCCCCCCTTATTTACAAAAGATTTGTTTCCATTTTTTAACTTCTAGTCTTTTTTTTTCCTGTCCCTTCCTTTCCCCTCCCTCCTCCCGTTCCCGTCCCATTTGAACATTTTCTTCCATTTCTCAATATTTGTTACACAATTTGGTCCTTATTTACACTTTCAGTTTCTCACACCAGAGAAACAATGTGGTATTTACACATGTGTCCAATTTATTTTGCTTAAGAGTATGGTCTCAAGGTGCATTTATTTAGATAGAAATGGCTCAAGCTTATCCTTCTTTATGACAGAGTAGTACTCCATTGTATAAGAAAACCCCATATATTCTTTATCCATTCATCAATTGATGGGCATTTGGTCTCTTTTTGAGATTTAGCTATTAAAAACTGTTGGGGTATGAAAATGGGTGTACATATATTGCTGTGGTATGATGCTTTTAATTCTCTTGGAAACATACCAAGAAGGGGAGTAGATGGGTTGGCTGGAACCTCTACTTTTAGTTTTTTGAGGAATCTCCTCACTGATTTCCATTCTACACTCCCACCAACAGTGGATAAGAGTTCCTTTTACCCCACAGCCCTACCCTACCAGCATTTGTTATTAGTTGATTTCTTGATAACAGCTATTCTTTCTGGGGTGAGATGAAATCTCAGTGCTGTTTTAATTTGCATCGCTCGAATGACCAGTGATGTTGAACATTTTTTTTTTCATATATTTATTTGCCATTTCTACTTCCTCATCTGAGAAGTGTCTGTTCATTTACATGCCCATTTTTTGGATTGAGTCTTTAAATTTTGGGGGTCTGATTTTTTTGAGTTCTTTATATGTTCTAGATATCAGCATCCTGACGATGCTGCTGCTGCTACTGATGTTGAAAAAAACACCACCAACAAAAAAATAGATATTAGTCCTTTGCCTGAAGAACAGCTGGCAAAAATTTTTTCCCACTCTGTGAGTTGTCTTTTCACTTTGTTAATGGTTCCTTTTGCCATGCAAAAGGTTTTTAATAAGATGAGATCATAGGCCAGGCGTGGTGGCGCACACCTGTAATCCCAGCACTTGGGAGGCTGAGGCAGGAGGATCGTTGTGAGTTCGAGATCAGCCTGGGCTACAAAGTAAGCTCAAGGCCAACCTGAACTGCATAGCAAGACCCTGTCTCAAAAAGACAAAAAGGGGCTGGGGATTTAGCTCAGCAGCAAAAGCGCCTGCCTGGCAAGCGCAAGGTCGTGAGTTCGGTTCCCGGTACCGGAGAAAAACCAAAAAAATAAAAAAATAAAAATAAAAATAAAAAATAAAAAAGACAAAAAATAAAATAAAATAAAATAAAGATGAGATCTTAGTTGTTGATTCTTTGTGATATTTCCTGTGCAATCAGGGTTTTGTTCATAAAGTCTTTGCCTACACCTAGGTCCTCAAGAGTTCTACCTATTCTACCTTCCAGCAGATACAGTGTTTCTGTTTTAATATTTAGTCTTTGATTTATTTTGATTTTAGTTTAGTTCATGGTGAGAGCTACAGGTCCAGCTTTCATCTTTGGCAGGTGGAAAGCCAATTTTTCCACCATCATTTATTAAAGAGACTTTGGTCCCTTTGTCAAAGATAAGGTATCTGAGTGTGTTTGGAATTGTTTCTGCTTCTTCTAATCTGTTCCATTGATCCTTGGGTCTGGTATTTTGTTGTTGTTGTTGTTGTTGTCGTTGGGTTTTTTTTTTAATTTTACCTTTTTGTGTGTGTGTGTGTGTGTGTCTTTTTTCGAGACAGGGTCTCGCTGTGCAGTTCAGGCACCCTTGAGCTCACTTTGTAGGCCAGGCTGGTCTCGAAGTCACAACGATCCTCCTTCCACAGCCTCCCAAGTGCTGGGCTACAGGTGTGCGCCACCACTCCCGGCTTTTTTTGTTTTGTTTTGTTTTTGCCAGTAGCACACTCTTTTTTCTTTTCTTTTTTTTTAATCACAGTATCTTTTTATAGTATAATTTGTTGCCCAGAATTGCTTTTGCTATTCTAGGTCTCTTCTGGTTACAAATGAATTTTAGGATTGTTGTCCCTAATTCTGTGACGTATGCTATTGGTATTTTGATCAGGATTGTATTAAATCTATATAACAATTTTCACTATATTGATTCTTCCTACCCAAGGACAAGGGTTACCTTTCCATTTTGTGATAACTTCTTCCATCTCTTTTTTCAGAGTACTGTAGTTTTTGGTGTAAAGGTCTTTTACTTCCTTTGTGAGATTGATTCCTAGGTATTTCTTTTTGTTCTTTTTTCTTTTCTTTTCTTTTCTTTTTTTTTTTTGACACAGGGTCTCGCTATGCAGTTCAGGCTGGCCTTGGGCTCACTTTGTAGCACAGGCTGGTCTCCAACTTGCAACAATCCTCCTGCCTCAGCCTCCCAAGTGCTGGGATTACAGGTGTGTGACACTACGCCCAGCTCCTTTTTTTTTTGGATGCTACTGTGAAAGGTGTTGTTTCTTTAGTTTCTCTCAGTGACTTTGTTATTTGTGTACTGGAATGCTATTGATTTTTGAGTGTTGCAATTGTATCCAGCTGGGCTACTGAATTTGGTTATTAAATCTAGAAATCTTTTGGTAGAGTTGTTGGGGTCTTGAATCATGTAAATGGTACTTTCTGGGTGGTACTGGGGATTGAATTGAAAGCTTTCACACTGAGCTACATCCTCAGCCCTTTTATTCTTTTGAGACAGCATCTCGCCAAATGGCTAAATTGTGTAGGCTGAGCTCACACCTGCAGCCCTCCTACCTGAGCCTCCCGGAGCGCTGGGATTATAAACACGCCTCATCATGGCCAGCTATTTGTACTTTTTTACCTGTAAAAACAATCTTGAGATTTTTTTTGTTTGCATTTGACACTATTTAGAGCAAAGTTCAGTAGATAATATTCTCCTAGGAATTGAAGATATAGTCATTTTCTTTTTCCTAAATAAAATAAAGATGAGCAGGGTGTGGTGGCACATACTTGTAATCTCAGCGCTCTGGGAAGCTTTAGAGCTTGCTCTCTGGGGTAGATCTGAGGCATCAGGTAACTAAGAAAATAGGTGGGAAAGGAGGCCTGCCTGGGAGCCCCCTTTCTGGGACTAGATCCACCTTGTGAGCGAATGTTGGCCCAGGATCAGGATGTCCATGTCTAAACACAATGGAAAGAGTAACCAAGTAACCTATCTTATCTACAGTCAGTCCCCCAGCAGATCCCTAAGTGTTTTTTTGCAACCCTTGGCCACCCAACCCTAATTACCATGTCATTGACTATGCAGATTTGACCTCCCTGTGGGATTTGTACCCCAGAACAGTTCCTCTAAGAGCCATAAAAGGTCACAAACTCCACCGCTTGCCCCAAACCCTAAGACTTAAAACCCTCAACACCAAGCCTCACTTGAGGTCTTGAGTTCTTACGAGCATGCT